GTCTTCTTCTCCCAGATGTACATGTAGCTTGCTCCCTCACTACCTTCGGGCTACTGCTCAAATATCACCTTATAAGAAAAACCTTCCCTGTCAATACTATATAAAACAGTTCATACACTCCCATCATTCTGTCTCCATACTCCAAGGTATTTTTCTTTTTAGCATTTATAAATTATACTGTTTATTATCTCTGACCCTGTCCCATTCACCAGAATATAAGCTCCATGCCCATCAGGGCCTTTGCCAATTCTGTCGTCATTGCATATACCAGCACATGGCATATAGCAAATACAACAGACTATGTTCGTTCCTTAATGTATGAAAGTAAGAACAAAAAGCCTCCAAAGACATATCCCAAAGTACTGTATGTAATTCAGACACTCAGCAAACATTTAATAATGCCTTTTTAAAAATATGCATATACTTCTTCTGGCCTATCTAACAACTATTATTGGCCAAAGCCTTATGTCATAAATCCAGGAATCGTTTAGTCTTCCCAAACCAATCAGTTTTAAGTGAAAAAGTTCAGCCTCTCTATTAAAAGCATCTAAGTTTAAAAGTTTATGGCAATCGATATTTTATAGTTTAGTATGAAACTTGATCCAGTTTAAGGCTTCAACTATACAATCAGAAGCTCCTTCTTTCTCTTTTATTTTTCTTCACCACTTATCTAAAGAAAGCAGACAGAGAGTATGCATTAATGAAGGCTTTGAATTTGAACTCCAAAGAAAGCCCAGGTTCTGAACAAAAAGTGAAGTTTTTCTTTACGAATTTCTGGAGCTGATTAAACTCAACCACAAATTACATCTGTTTTGAGCTACTTTTAAAGATTTAAAGCACTGCCAGATATGTCATTCTACATGAATCACAAGACTTTATCATATACAGAGCACAGATAATCCTGAAGAGTGTGTTCTAAGTTATATATTTGAGAACCTTTAGTTCAGTTAAAATCATGATTTCATTAAATTAGAGAGTAGGGCAGGTTGGTGACTTAAGAAATGTCCAAAAGTAAGCATTCCCAAAGCCTATGGTGTCCAAGTGCTCGGATCCCAGAGCTTTAGGTAGACACCAGGCTCTACGTTAACATAGGCTTCCCAAGACATTTCCCCCCAAAGAATCTCTAATAAAACCAATCCATTTCTTTCTTTGGTGCTTAAAGTGGTCAGGTTCAGACCACCTCCCCCTGCCCCCAAAAACCCAAAAAATTCTGGATTTTGGATACGACTTCAGATACAAAAATCATTAAGCAACCTAAGAATATAAAAATCAATAATCCCTCAGGTGGGTCAACACAAACTGCAGAATACCAGAATATAACTGAAAATTTGGTCCTAGTTTTCATATACTCCACCACTGGTAAATACATAGCAAGGGACAGGAAAGGCATTTAAATCATTTCTTCGCGATCAACAGCTTTACAAACAAGTACTAGATTGCTATGTCTACTTTACAGAAAGTTATTGCTAGGATTTGAAAAAAACCAAAGGCAAAGAGGGGTCAAGAGCCAAATCCAAGCAGAGCTTCATGCTGGCACTGTGAGTTAAAATTGCACAGGTATACTGGAGTCAAACGTGTGGTAATTTCATCAAACAACCTGACTCTCTGAACAATGAGTTAGGGAAAAGGACTGAACAGAAAGATTTCTTTATTCTCACACTCACTGCCCCATCTGTAATCACCATTCTCTCCCTCTCACCCTCTCTCACAAACTAAGTGCATATTTCCACCGTCAAAAGCCACATTAAAAGACCAGCAAAAGACCACAATCACCTGGTTAACCTCTAGCATAACAACTGAGTGGAGCATGCTCTTTGAGGCCTCCAGCGCTGGCTCTACACTGCAAGTGGATGTGGGTGCGTGAGCCCATTGGAGCTTGGGAAAAAGGAGAGCTCAAACAATGTTCTTGTCAGCACTTTAAACAAAAAATCCATTCAATGATAATGGCACCATGTTCCTTTTGCCCTTTCTCCCTAGGAACTAAATTAAACAGATTACAGACAGTGGCAAGAGCTGGCCTTAGAACAGCCTCCCCCTTATTTATTATTTTTAGCAATTTAGTCCGACAACGCCTGACAACTAAACATGCCTAGAATAGCTAAAGGGAGGGGGGATTATCAGATACTACCAGCAAAAAAACACTAGTCATCACTTCCTCCAACCCTAAGAAAGAATCATTTTCCGTGTCTTTATAGCATCATGCAGAGTTGGAGCTTTTAGAGTCTCACATAAAAACAGAGTACATATAAAACATCAGTGGAAACCGATAATGCTTCCTGATCTGGAGGACTGTTCCACCCTCACATGTGTTTTCTTAAAAACAAAAGCAGAATAAAATGAACTAAGTTGTTTTACCACAAGAGTTAGGAGTAAAATGCATCTGTGTCCATTTTGGAAGAATTCCCTCACAAGATAATTATGTACCCAAAAGAATGGCTTCATGAATAGTGATGGAATTCAAATGTTTTTATTATGCTGGTGAAAGATGAAAGATCGGCAAGTAAGACAAAGTGAGGTAGGAGAAACTCCTCTAATTAATCAAAATTAGGAAGACAGCACCACCCATAGACACTCTATTTATAAATGAAATAATGTACTAAAAATTCTCTGAAAAATGAAAAAATAAAAATGGTAAAGTAGAACTATCTGCATCAGATTAAAATTCATAAAAATACATTTATTGTTTAGTAAGATAAAATGTCCATGTACATTCAGGAATTTATAATTAATAACACTTCCTGAACATTTTTTGCCACGATTCTAAGTACGACGTATTTTATAAGACAGTATAGAATAAAGCACTACAAATGAGTAAAATGATGTCTTCCTGGGTATGTTATTTTAATTTATGTATGTGGGATTAATAATACGGCTCCATCCAAAAGTATCTCTAAAACGGGTGATACGTAATATACTACCTTAAGCCATCACAAGCACATCTGTGATTTCGTCATTTAAGCAACTACTACAAAGCTATCAAAAAAGATGTTGTTACCTTTTAATTTTTTTTTTTAAGATTTGATTTTCTTTATTTGACAGAGACACAGCGAGAGAGGGAACACAAGCAGGGGGAGTGGGAGAGGGAGAAGTAGGCTCCCCACCGGGCAGGGAGTCTGAGGCGGGGCTCGATCCCAGGACCCAGGGATCACGACCTGAGCCGAAGGCAGATGCTTAACGACTGAGCCACCCAGGCGCCCCTGTTGTTACCTTTTATTACATTTTAAATGGCAAAGCTGCAGGCAGACAACTACTTTTATTTTACCTTCAGAGAAAAGGATTCCAATTAACTTTTTAAATTAAAAGTGGACATGAAAGGAAACTGCTTTTTGTTTTGTTTTGCCTCCTTTTTTATCTTTTTTTGTAAGGGAGCATTTTTGCTCCGCAAGTGTCAATTCAGAAGAATACCAAGGTTATAATGATAAATTTAACAGAAGTGCCCGTAGAGGGCGCCTGGGTGGCTCAGTCGGTTAAGCGACTGCCTTCGGCTCAGGTCATGATCCTGGAGTCCCTGGATCGAGTCCCGCATCGGGCTCCCTGCTCGGCAGGGAGTCTGCTTCTCCCTCTGACTCTAACCCCTCTCATGTGCTCTCTCTCATTCTCTCTCTCTCTCAAATAAATAAAATCTTAAAAAAAAAAAAAAAAAAAGAAGTGCCCGTAGATATCTTCTAATCCAACCTCTCATCTTACAGATGAGGACACTGAAGCTTAGAGTACAGCAAGGGCTAGAATTCAGAATTCCTAACTCAGCAGAAGGTATTTAAATTAGGAATCTAGGGTAATGAATGCTCTGTTGTAAATCTAGGAGACTTGGAGATCTCTATTTATGGTTCAAATATCAGTATGGATCTTGTTCTTTTGAGCTGACATGCAGAGTGTGCTCATTAATATAGGTGTGGCCTGTCCACACTGAGTATCGAACAACTCACTTCCTCTGGCCAGTATCTATTACTTCAGGTTAGGGAAGACCTGTGCTGTAAGGACTGACCAGAGTCAGAATCTCAGGTAAAGAAAATATACTGATTAACCTCCCCTTACCATCTAGCTCCAAGAGCAGGGAGGCATGCACTAACATGAAAGAAAATTCAAAGTCTACCTCATTGAAAGAAATCATTTTCTAGACAGGCTGAAAGTAACTGCAGGAACTCTCAGGCATGGGAGGGAGGGGATAAAGACAAATATTCATGGTTAGGCACCGAGAAAAGTTAGACCATATAAAGCACAAAGCAGTGAAACCTGAGGTCAGTCAACAACCCTCTGAAGCACTGGAAGGGATAGTCCGGTGCGGGTATAGACAAATATTCCAAGGAGTAAATCAAGGCACCCTGGGAATGCATTCTAGAAAAAAGGAATAATAGACTCAAGATGCAGAAAGCTAAACTCAAGTCTAACGGGAATGCAAATCCTTCTTTTACCTTAATCATAAAACGAAGACACACATATCAGTCAATATATGAAATCAGAGGGATGTATGTGTAAAATATTTGTAATATATATTTTACAAATAAGGAAGACTGTCTAGTTACCAGGGCAAATCTATTTGAAATGGTCACATCTAAGTTCTCATCAGAGCTGAAATAATATTTTTTAAGTAAACTCTACCCCCAATGTGGGGCTCAAACTGACAACCCTGAAATGAAAGTCACTTGTTATACCAACTGAGCCAGCCAGGCATCCCTGAGCTGAAATATTTCTAATAAGGAAGTGAAATATATCACAGTTTACATTTGGGTAAATATCAGCACTTGGGTCGTAACACATATACACTGACCAAGGCATTGAAAATATTGATAATAACCAATAAAGAATACTCAACCAGAAAAAGAGCGTATTGGGCTTTTTCAGACTCATGCCTATTCTTCTCTAAAAGCCAAAGAGGAAGATTATGCAGCTACATTAAGCCTTAAGACACCAGGACAGAGAATATATATAGTTCACACGATAAACTCTAGGGCTTCCAAAACATCAGGCTCTTTTAGATTTAAGTCTTAAATAACTAAAAACTATTTTAAAACAAACACCCATTTTTACAAATGTTGAGAATGCAAATGAACTCTATAAAGAGATAAGTATTCATACCTGAAATCATAAAACATGGGACAGCAAGAGAAACATCACTCGCTACTTTCCAAGTCAAAACATAGAAAAGAGATGAATTTACTAACTTGCAATTATTATTTTTTTTAATTAAAAAAATAAAAGCAGCTTTCCTTTCCGATCTGCCATCTGCGGTGGAACCGCCGCCAAGATGCAGATTTTCGTGAAAACTCTTATGGGGAAGACCATCACTCTTGAGGCTGAACCCTCGGATACAACAGAAAATGTAAAGGCCAAGATTCAGAATAAGGAAAGAATTCCTCCTGATCAGCAGAGATTGATCTTTGCTGGCAAGCAACTGGAAGATGGACGCACTCTGTCTGAATACAACACTCAAAAGGAGTCCACTCTTCATCTTGTGTTAAGACTCCGTGGTGGTGCTAAGAAAAGGAAGAAGTCTTATACCACTCCCAAGAAGAATAAGCATAAGAGAAAGAAGGTTAAACTGTCCTTCTTGAAATACTAAGCATACTTCCTGAAATAATAAGCATAAGAGAAAGAAGGTTAAACTGGCCTTCCATCCACTATAAGGTGGATGAGAATGGCAAAATCAGTCGCCTTCGTTGGGAGTACCCTTCAGATGAGTGTGGTGCTAGAGTTTTCATGGCTAGTCGCTTCGACAGACATTATTGTGGCAAATGTCTGACTTACTGCTTCAACAAACCAGAAGACAAGTAACTGTATATGGGTTAATAATAAAAGACATGGGGCAACTGGGTGGCTCAGTTGGTTAAGTGACTGCCTTCGGCTCAGGTCATGATTGCGGAGTCCCGGGATCGAGTCCCACATCGGGCTCCCTGCTCAGCGGGGAGTCTGCTTCTCCCTCTAACCCTACCCCCTCTTGTGCTCTCTTTCTCACTCTCTCTCTCAAATAAATAAAATTTAAAATAATAATAATAATAATAAAAGACATGAACAACAACAACAAAAGCCACTCAGAGGGTCTAGTGACCTAGATGAAGGTGGGACACCATCAAGCTAATTTTCAGAGTATAGACATTTTATACACTTTAGTACTCAAGTCTCTTGGGTCAGAGTAGCAGAGATCTCTGAAAAATAGCTCCCTTCAGCAAATGACTAAAAGATAAACTGTACACTCGATTAGAACATCCTGACTTGTTAAGAATAAAAATGGACTGCCTACGAAGATAAAGTGTAACTCTACATAATGGAACGAAAACAAATCACAATCTTGAGTAACACATATATCTCACAATGTTGAGCAAAAGAAGGCAAAAAATATATATACAGTGATTTTGTTCATATAAAGTGCAAAAACAAGAGTAAATTACACTGTTGAGGGGAGGTATATATAGGTGGTTAAAAAAAAAAAAGGAAAAGAAAATACAATTGCACCAAAAACGGTTAAGATACCTAGGAATAAACCTAACCAAAGAGGTACAAGACCTGTATTCTGAAAACCTAACACTGATGAAAGAAATTAAAGATGACACAAAGAAATGGAAAGACAGTCCATGCTCATGGATTGCAAGAATATTGTTAAAATGTCCCTACTACCCAAAGCGATCTACACATTTATGCAATCCCTATCAAAATACTAACATTTTTCACAGAGCTAGAACAAACAATCCTAAAATTTGTATGGAACCACAAAAGACCCCACATAGCCAAAACAATCTTGAAAAAGAAAAGCAAATGGGCGCCTGGGTGGCTCAGCCGTTTAGCGTCTGCCTTCGGCTCAGGTCATGATCCCAGGGTCCTGGGATCGAGTCCCGCATTGGGTTCCTTGCTCGGCAGGGAAGCCTGCTTCTCCCTCCCCCACTCCCCCTGCTTGTGTTCCCTCTCTCGCTGTCTCTCTCTCTGTCAAAAAATAAATAAAAATCTTTAAAAAAAGAAAAAGAAAAGCAAAGCTGAAGGCATCACAATTCCGGACTTCAAGTTATACTACAGAGCTGTAGTCATCGAGACAGTATGGTACTGGCACCAAAACAGACACACAGATCAATGGAACAAAATAGAAAACCCAGAAATGAACCCACAATTATATGGTCAATTAATCTTCAACAAAGCAAGAAAGAATATGTAATGGGAAAAGACTATCTCTTCAACAAATGGTGTTGGGAAAACTGGACAGCTACAAGCAAAAGAATGAAACTAGATCACTTTCTCACACTATACACAAAAATAAATTCAAAATGGATTAAACACCAAAAGGTGAGACCTGAAACCATAAAAATCCTAGAAGAGAACAAAGGCAGTAACTTGTTTGACATCAGCCATAACAACTTCTTTCTAGATTATGTCTTCTGAGGCAAGAGAAAGAAAAGCAAAAATAAACTATTGGGACTACATTAGAAAAAAAGATTCTGGGGCGCCTGGGTGGCTCAGTTGGTTAAGCGAGACTGCCTTCAGCTCAGGTCATGATCCTGGAGTCCCGGGATCGAGTCCCGCATCGGGCTCCCTGCTCGGCGGGGAGTCTGCTTCTCCCTCTGACCCTCCTCCCTCTCATGCTCTCTGTCTCTCATTCTCTCTCTCTCAAATAAATAAAATCTTTAAAAAAAAAAAAAAAGAAAAAAAAGATTCTGCACAGAGAAGGAAACTATCAACAAAAGTAAAAGGCAGCCGATAGGGTGCCTGGGTGGCCCAGTCGTTAAGCATCTGCCTTCAGCTCAAGTCATGATCCTAGGGTCCTGGGATCAAGCCCTGCATCGGGCTCCCTGCTCAGCGGGAAGCCTGCTTCTCCCTTTCCCACTCCCCCACTTGTGTTCCCTCTCTTGCTGTGTCTCTCTCCGTCAAATAAATAAATAAAATCTTAAAAAAAAAAAAAAAGGTAAAAGGCAGGTGGGGTGCCTGAGTGGCTCAGCCAGTTAAGCACCTGACTCTTGATTTCAGCTCAGCTCATGATCTTGGGGTCGTGAGACTGAGTCCAGCACTGGGCTTGGTGCTCACCAGGGAATCTGCTTGGGATTCTCTCTCTCTCTCTCTCCCCACCCCACCCCCAGCTCGGGCACATGCTCTCTCCCTCTCTAAAATAAATAAGATAAAATAAAATATATGAAGGATTTGTAAAACTCAACACCCCAAAAATGAATAATCCAATTAAGAGACAGGCAGAAGACATAGACATATTTCCAAAAAAGACATATAGACATCCCAACAGACATATTAAAAAAGGCTCAATATCACTTAACATCAGGGAAATGCAAACCAAAACTACAATGAGAGATCACTTCACACCTGTCAGAATGACTAAAATCAACAACACAAGAAACAACAGGTGTTCTCGAGGATGTAGAGGAAGAAGAACCTTCATGCAATGTTAGTGGGAATGCAAACTGGCACAGTTTCTCTGGAAAACAGTATGGAGGTTCCTTAAAAAGTTAAAAATAGAACTACTCTACAATTTGGCAACTGCTCAACTAGGTATTTACCCAAAGAATAAAAAAAATAGTAATTCAAAGGGATATATGCACCCTGACACTTATAGCAGCATTATCTACAATAGCCAAATTACAGTAACAGCCCAAATGTCCACCAACTGATGAATGGATAAAGATGTGGTATATATTACTCAGCCACAGGGCGCCTGGGTGGCTCAATCGTTGGGCATCTGCCTTCGGCTCAGGCCATGATCCCGGGGTCCTGGGATCGAGCTCCACATCGGGCTCCCTGCTCCGCGGGAAGCCTGCTTCTCCCTCTCCCACCCCCACCCCGCTTGTGTTCCCTCTCTCGCTGTGTCTCTGTCAAATAAATAAAATCTTTAAAAAAGAAAAAAAAAGAATGAAATGTTGCCATTTCCAATGACATGATGGAGCTAGAGAGTATTATGCTAGCAAAATAAGTCATTCAGAGAAAGACAAATACCGTATGATTTCACTCACATATGGAATTTAAGGAAAAAACAAATAGGCAAAAGGAAAAAAAAAAAAAAGAAAAAGAGGCAAACCAAGGAACAGACTCTTACCTATAAAGAACAAACAGATTGTTAACCAGAAGGGAGGTGGGTGAAGGGATGGGTTAAACCGGTGATGGGGATTAAGGAGTACACTTGTGATGAGCACCTGTGATGTACAGAAGTGCTGAATCACTATATGGTACACCTGAAACTAATAGTACACTGTATGGTTTTGTTTTTTAAGATTTCATTTATTTATTTGAGAAAGAGGGAGAAAACACGAGCAAGGGGAGGAGCAGAGGGAGAAGCAGACTCCCCACTGAGCAGGGAGCTGGACATGGGGCTCAACGTGGGGCTCAATCCCAGGACCCTGGGATCATGACCTAAGCAGAAGGCAGATGCTTAACCAACTGAGCCACCCAGGCGCCCCAGTACACTGTATGTTAACTAACTGGAATTTAAATGAAAACTTAAAAGGAAAAAGGAATACCTATCACAAAAGTTAGGGTTGTAACTATGGGAAGGGGCAGGAATGGCATTGTGATTAGGGGGAGGAAAGAACGGGAGAGCCTCTGGTGCATGTCAATTTTTATTAAGCTATATGTATTTTAAGGTTCATTTTTATAAATGCTGTATTTCACTACAAAATAAATGACTAATTTCTTAATGGAGTCTAAATTTTGAGCTATGCCCGCACGGAGTATAATTCTTGTTTAACGTATAAAAAAACATCTCATCACTGGCTCTGCTCTCACCTGCCCTTCTCTCTCCACCGAAACAGAATAGAATCACTGTCTATCATATAATAGTGTCCACCTGACATCACCTCCAAAGAGGGGCTCCCATCATATCCACAATGGTACCAACTCAAAAATGAAGTACTCAGGGCAAAACGTGGACATTCAGCCAAGTGCCTACCAGTTACCACCCATGCTATGGAAAAAATGATCTTCAACAGGCAGAGTAAAACCTCCTCAATCATGGGAACTCCTCCAAAACATTTTCTCATCAGAGTCTCAAAACAGCGAACTGCAGAATGTCACAGGCACCTCCTACCAGTTCCCTTGCCACTATTCTTCCTTCTTGTTTCAGGAACCACCATCTAACCAAAATTGTCATTTTTGTGCAAGAATCAGGTCTTTTACAGTTTCTTAGATTTTACTTACAACACGGGCTGCAGAGCTATTTCACAACCCTGAGATTGTAATATTTTGTGTCAGAAGCAGCATTATGCAGGCCAAAATGTCCTGGGTTTCCTTACTCTTATTTTTATTATGTCACTGCTAAGCTAACCAGGGTAGTGGGAGGTGTGGTGACCATGTCAAAGATAAAGGAAAGGAAGTGGTCAACCAGTATACGCATGTGTCTAAAATGTAATGGGAACTTTAGACTAAATGTAGATGAGCCTCAAGCAATAACTGCCTCTTCACCTGGAACACAGGAGCGAACCTAAGAGAACGGTGGTCAAAATGTACTCAAATATATCACTGAAAGCTTAAGAGTTATCTCAAGGATTCCAAAAAGTGGAGATTCATAAGGCAAGAGGGTCAGAAATTGAGCTCTAGCTCATCTGAAAGCTGAATCCAAGTTTTTCTAAAGGCAAAAAAAAGTCCATAAAATTATATCCTTCTTACTTCAAAAAAAAAGTGAGCAAAAAATATAGGAAGTATTTTTCACTTTAGAATATATTGCCTCGGGGCGCCTGGGTTGGCTCAGTTGGTTAAGCGACTGCCTTCGGCTCAGGTCATGATCCTGGAGTCCCGGGATCGAGTCCCACATCGGGCTCCCTGCTCGGCGGGGAGCCTGCTTCTCCCTCTGACCCTCCCCCCTCTCATGTGCTCTCTGTCTCTCTCATTCTCTCTCTCTCAAATAAATAAATAAAATCTTTAAAAAAAAAAAAAAAGAATATATTGCCTCAGTCAACATTTTAACTCAACTTTAACTAAAACTGAATTTTCTAGGAAAAAAAAGACTTCTATTTTCCTTTTGTAGCAATGCTGTACATTTCAAAAAGAAAATTATTTTTACAAAGACAGATGAGAAGTGCCTGGGTGACTCAGTCGGTGAAGCGTGCAACTCTTGATCTTAAGGTTTTAAGTTCGAGCCCCGTACTGGGTGTAAAGATTACTTTAAAATAATTTTAAAATACTGGGGCGCCTGGGTGGCTCAGTCATTGAGCGTCTGCCTTTGGCTCAGGTCATGATCCCAGGGTCCTGGGATTGAGCCCCGCATCGGGCTCCCTACTCCGCGGGAAGCCTGCTTCTCCCTCCTCCACTCCCCTTGCTTGTGTTCCCTCTCTCTCTGTGTCTGTCAAATAAATAAATCAATAAATCTTAAAAATAATAATTTTAAAATATTTTAAAAAAAGATAAGACTCATAGTCTTCATTCCAAATCCCAATTATACTAAGGTCATTTAAGAAATTAAGCTTTTGTACTTTTCTAACAACAACATATACTGTATTATGTATTATATACACTCAGCCATCTTGAAAAAATTATTGGAATTT